GTAAACATAGTGATTTAAAGTAAAAATGTATTATTATCCTATGGTTGTGCAGGCTTATCTGGGTAGTTCTCTGATGTGGTTCCAGATGATGGCTAAGATTTCAGTCATTTGAAGCCTTACCTGGGCTGGACATCCAAGATGGTTCACACACCTGGCTAGCAGCTAATGCTGGCTATCAGCTGAGTGTTCAGCTGACCTGACAGCTGAACCACCTATACACAGACTCTCTACATGGCTTGGCATTCTTACAATATAGAGGCTGAGTTCCAAAACGGAGCCCTCCAAGAACAAGTACTCTAAAACCCCTATTGGGAGGCTGAAAGCCTGTGCATAACATCACTTCTGCCACATTTTATTGGTCAAGAAATCAAGACAAGCCCAGATTAAAGGAGAAGGAAATTAAACTCCATTTCATGATATGAAAACAGCATGCCCATGTCAGAAGAGAACCAATTGTTTATAGACTATCTACCGCAAATGACTAGAAAGTGGGAAGCCAAAGAAGAGGGAAAAAAAAGTACCCCAGAACTCCCTAAAATGAGACGCATATGAGGATAAAATTACAAGTTCTTAAATTTTTAGGCTTTTGCTTTTAAAATTTCTAATTGTATAAAGTAAATAAAATGTAGTACTCTGGTACATGTATGGTACATGCTCAAAAAATTTCAGTAACAGGAATGAAGGCAAGGAATTATCTGTCTTCTGCTTTAGAAGACAGTAATAAGAGAGTATAAGAATTAGTGACATAGGTCCCTGCTTATCCTTCACCACATATGTAGGAGAAATGTTTGCTCTTTATAAGTAATAATAGAGACGTAACCTATAACATTTGGAGACCACTGACAGGGTGTCCGTTTTCTGCCCAGACGTGGGGAGGACTTCAAATTTACTACAAGGGATTCATGCATCAGTATGTTATTAGGAACAGAAAAATAAGAAAAGCTAGAGTGGATTTCTGGAATACAAATTATTAAATCATTACATCTAATGACTTGCTTCTATTGTTTTGGAATGTGACTGGCAGAATCTAACCTAAGATGACAGAAGTGCCCAAGCACCTATATTTTTACTGAGCTAATATCCACCATAAGAAATGAATGTGGTAGTTTATAGACAGCTAGAAAGTATGTAACACTCCTCCCATTAAAGGATGAGATCCATGTTACCACCCCTTAAATCTTAGTGGGCTTTGAGACTAACTGACCAACAGAATATGGCACAAGAGATGTTGAACCAGTTTCTGGGCCTTAGGATGCTGGCAGCTTTTACTTTCTTTTTGTGATACTTGTTCTCGGAAACCAGCTGCATGCTGTTGATGGAGCCCAAACAGCTCAATGGGGAGGACCCTGTGGGGAGGAATTAAGAATCTTGATCAACAGCCCATTTAATCTCCCAGTTAACAGCACCAAATTACCAGCCATGTGAGTCATCTTAGAAATGGATCCTGCAGCCCTAGTTGAGTTATCCCACTGATGCCACATGAAACAAAGTCAAATCCCATCCAAATTGCAGGTTTGTAAGCAAATTAAATGATTATTGCTATTAGAAATCACCAAGTTTTAGGGTGGCTTATTATATAATAGCCTAACCTTAGCTACCCAAATTATAAGTTTAATATTGTCTTTCCCCAGTAAATTAAAGATAATGAGCTTCACCTAACATGAAAATCTACTGTCATATTTTATGGTGAGTAATGCCACAGATCTAAGCTGTAACGTGACATGCTATCACATAGATAGTAAAAAGAGTGCCCCCCACATGATCACCTTCATCTCTGAACATGACCCTACTGTCATACCTCAGAAGGTAGAGTGCACCATAGTCATCATAAATTAGCCTCAACCCATCCTCAGCCTTTTGCCTGATTTCTTCCTGTAACCAATGACATATATTGGTAAGACTAACGATCTGTGCTTTTGACAGTATGACATGATTATGAAAGGGAATAAAACTTCAGACTCATAAGAACTAAACCTGTGTCCTCAGCTGCATAAATAGTCCGTTTTGACTAATTTAACCTCAAACAAATAAAAAAAGTAGCAGAAAAACATAGTGAAAACTTCATACCCTACCTTCATAATTAATATTTTATATATGTGGTCTATGGGAAACTGGAAGTAGTCACCGAGTCAATCTACATTGTTTATGTATAGGACCAGTAACACTAAAAGAAGTCCTAGTTACCAACTTTGTTAGAATTATTTAAATATACATTTTTTATTTTCCTGCAACAGTACTTTGAACGTCTCCATTTGGATATATCTCTATAAAATCTATAAAACAAGTTACATGTTGGACAAGGGCCAAGTGGAGAAAAAAAGTATCAACGCAAGATACAACTAAAAGGAAGTAAGGTATCATCTACCCTGTGCTTCAAGAAAGCAGAAGACCATCAGAACTGGTGATGTTAGTCTGAGTCAGAGACGCCAACAGGCCCTTAGGATGTGCTCCCTGAAAGCCATGGTTGCCTTTTGATCTCACCATGGCTGGCATCTAGTGAGACAGAGTTCCATTCTGGTTTAGTCTGGTGCCCAGACTAGCAATAGATTCATTTCACAGTTTTTGTTTTAACATGATATAGAGGAGAATCTAAATGTACAATCTGCCTGTGTGTCTGGGGATTTTTCCCTTAGCTTGATGCATTGCCTTTTGATGAACATTTAGCTCAGCAAATCTTATTTCTGTACACTAAGGAATTTTCTAGTTCTAGAAGAGCTCTTAAATCCTTTGGCAGAGATTCACTCACCTTAGTAAAACAATAGCTGGCAGATACACACAGTCTACAGGAAATCAGGGTAACAGGTTAGGTCATTTTTTAGGTGAGCTACTTAGCAAACTTTGATTTGTCCTTCACAAAATGAAGATTTGTTTTCTTAAATGAAAGTACATAATTTCTTTTTATTCTCTACTCTAAAAGTCAATAAACAAATCATCAAATAAAATCTGGTTTATACCAGCTTTCATGACTCACATCTGGGCTATGTACCTCACAACAATATTTTCCACTATAACATTTCTGTAAAAATAATCCTAGAACATATTAAATCCCAAAAAACAATACGGTTTATTTGGGGGTCAGCCATCTACATTTACACTAAAAATTTTCTTACCTCCCTAAAATGTTGATACCTGACCTTTAGTCTGTAAGATATAAGTATGGAGGATATGTCTTTTAAACAATGAATTAGGATGAATTAGGTTATATTCAGTTATTTTGTCTAGAGATCAGGAGGAAAGATATAAGTAAAGTTAAATCTGAATTAACTCCTCCCCATATACCAATCAGCTGCTAGTTCTTTGTTACCTAAGAATGCCTTCCACATTGTGTAAGGATTTGAGAGAAAGTCCCATGAGGGCAGAGGCCACTTTTTCTTGCTCACCATTGTATCCTCTGACCTAACACAGTTCCCGGCACCCAGTAGGCACTTAGCACATATTGGGAGGATGAATATAGCATGAGACCCTCCTCAAAGCCATCTTTCCTACATTCTAAAATCAAATCTATATTAGCACCCCTCCTCTGACTTAAGAAATAGACCTTTTTAATATACTACATGCATCAGTCAATGCATCGGGTTCCTGGTAATCAGCAACAGGTTCAAATAGATTTGTGTAGCAGGGCAGCTAGCTGGCACTGACCGTCCAGTCTGAAATGTACCTCTCACCCCCATACCATGCCCCTATGCCCCAATATCTCTTGATCCTCTTCCCCTGTTTTATTGATCTTTGCAACAATTATTCTCAAAGATGTTCTATATGTTTAATGTCACTTGTCTATTGACTTCTAATAAAATATAAGTGCATGAGGTCAGAAACTTTATTTCACTGTTCCATTGCCTAGGAAAATGTCTGGCACACAGCACAAGTTCATTTTATGTAAAGGAAGGAAGGAAAGAGGAAAGGAAGGAAGGGAGGGAGGGAGGGGGGGAAGGGAGGAATAGGAGGAATAGGAGGGAGGGAGGGAGGAAGTAGAGGGGAGGGAGGAATAGGAGGGAGGGAGGGAGGGGAGGTGAGGGAGGAATAGGAGGGAGGGACAAACAGGAGGGATGAGGGATGGACAAGATGGGCAGATGGGAGGGAGGAAGGAACAAGATCCCAAAATAACAGAAAAGAAGAAACTCAGTGGGCTGCTGTGGTAAAAATGCTTAGGATATTAAAGACAATACACAGGGGTTATGGGTTGAATTGTGTTCCTTCAAAGAGATATGCTCAAGTTCTAACCCACAATACCTGTGTATATGACCTTATTTGGAAATGGTCTTTGTAAATGCAATCAAATTAAGAAGATATCATCCTGGATTAGAGTAGATCCTAATCCAATATGACTGTTGTCCTTATAAAAAGAGAAGAGATTCAGACACACACAAAAGGAGGACGACCATGTCAAGACAGGCGGAGATTGGAGTTCTGCTGCCACAAGCCAAGAAGTGCCGGCTACTGTCATAAACTGTAAGAAGCAAGGAACGGTCCTCCCCTAGAGGCTTCAGAGGGAACATGGTCCTGCCAGCATCTTGATTTCTGAGTCTCAAGAATTGGAAAAGAATAAATTTCTATTGTTTTAAGCCACAGTTTATGATACTTTATTACAACAGCCCTAGAAAACTAATACAACTGGGCTTAATAAAAGAAGGGCCTCAAAACCAGAGTGGATGATTATAGAAAGACAAACTTTGCCTAACTAAAACATTTCCTGTACTACTCAACCAAAGCTGGTTGTAGAACGATGAATAAATAAAAGATGTACTAGGAATTTTAAAAAGGAAATTCTTAGAGCAACAGGTTATTCTTTTTTAAAACCTAATTATTTTTCTTAGTTTAGTACTTAATCTTTTTTTTTTTCTTTAATGCAAGTTTGCCTAACAAATACTATCCTTGGGATACCTAACAACTTAAGAAATAGACGAATCTGACACCAAAGTTCAATCTCTTACCAATGGGCTAATATTTTACCTCAGATGCCAAAATGCAACGTTTCAGATGGCAGATATGTAATTTGTTACTTTTTTTTTTTTTTTTTCTGGCTCCAAAGATCCTTTACTGAGATCTACTTGAAACACTTTGGTCCTAAATTTGTTAACTGAGTTGACAGGCTGATGGCTGATCTAGGTAAAGGTTTCACGGTAGCAGAAACACTTCCTGCCTAAAATATATCAAAACAGGCTCCTGAATGATGTGTATAAATGTCGTCAGGGTCTCTGTCCCATCTTCTTCAGGGTTCGATTAAGCTCCTCAAATTTGTGGATCTGACGGATAAAGAAATCCCCATAGCGCCTGGCGACCTTGGTGTCCGCAATGTGGATCATATCCTTATCAATGTAGAAGTCAACCTCTGAAGCTGACTGAAATTCACCATCCAGGGCTGAGATACCGCTGGTCCACACCAGGTTCTTCATCTTGTGTTTGAATACAAGAAGCTGAATCCAGAACTCCTGCTCTGTGAGATCCAGGAAGCCAGCCAGCTTGGCCACAGGCATGGTGGTATAGAGCTTGAGGAAGCTGCGGATGGTTGAAAGCTGGGCCTGCTGCTGTACTTCATCAACGAACACCTTCAGCTGCTGCAGGAAGGGCTCTTTGTGGTAGTTGGGGTGCACATTATCGTAGTTGGGCACTACTGGCGACAGAAACTTGGGGCAGGAGTAACTGAAAAGTTCTTCATAGACCTGTGGGTCACCTTTCTGCATGCGCAGCATCTTGTCTCCGTATTTCTCCCGCAGTTGGAGGTGAATGCTCTCATCGATACGCATGGGGTACATGGTGAGGGCAATGGCCAGCAGCGCGTGCATCTGCTCATTCTGCTTGTTAATCATCTCATACTTATATGTGGTCCTCTGGAACATACTCTTGGTCCTCTGGATGTAGAGGAGGATGTTGGCAAAGACCCGGATGGCATCCTGGTAGCGACGCATCATCAAATATGCAAATCCAACATAATAGTACGTGGTGACCTGGCACTCTGGAACACGGGAATACATACTCTTTTTGTTCAGTTCGATGTTCTCCAGCACCTTGATGGCCTGGTAGTAATCTCCTAACAGGGAATGCAGGCGGAGAAGCCCCACCAGGCTGAAGTAACCAAGCATCTTGTAGAGGGAGTGCCGCCCATACTCCCCAGCCACACTCTCAGGATCACCTCCGCTTGTGTATACCTCCAACTGTCGGTTGATGTTGGATTTGTCTACTAGGGAATGAAGGACATTGAGGACACTGTGAACATTCCAGATTTTGGGATTGGAACGAAGGAAGTCAATCTCCTCCTCTGACTTCTTGGCAGTCTTGCAGCGGTACTGACTGAATGACTGAAACTGGTAGATGAACTCATCGATGATATCCCAGAGCCACTGGTTGGGCAGTTCAAGGGGAGCAGGACCATCGGCATTAAGGATGTAGTTGAAGAGATTGCAATAGTTGTAATAGGATTCAAACCTCTGCTCCAAGGAAGGTCCCCCACTGACTTTGGCATATATGTGCCTGTAGTATAATTCTTTGTATAAAATCAGGAAGACAGCATCGTTGCCAACCTGTGGATTGGCTTCGGCCAATGGCTTCGGCCTCGGGCCAAGGTGTATTCTTGAAGAATCTTTCAGTCAGCTTGGTCCAGCTGTTCTCATAGATATCCTGGATCTCATATACCTTCTGGTCAATGACATCGCTGGAGACTCGACTGGCCTGTAGCTCATACACTTTCTGGTCAATCAAATCCGAGACAGTTTTGTGGAAATACTGGATGAAGTTTTTGATCACCTCAGGGATCACCTGATAGGTTTGCTGTTCATACTGACGTTCATAAGCAAGGTCCTGCTTTGGATCTCCTGTGTGCATATCATAGTCGCCCGGATAAGCATAGGGATCATAAGCCGCCTCGGATTCGTAATCATCAGCGGCATAAGACATGGCTGCCGGGCTCACGAGCACTGCCGGAAAGCTGTAATTTGTTACTTTTATAGTTCTATTAACTTTACCACTTTGCTATTATGAATTTTTCAAAGACGATATCCCTAAATTATTAAATGGCCTTTCCCAGCCTAAGAAATTCAAATATTTTTCAAAGTACACACCTATTAACAGCAGTTGGTCCTTGCTTTCGAACAAAAAAAAAGGTAAAATATATTCTCAAACATAAATCAGAAGGTTGTTAGCTTCATAAAAGATTATTCATTTTGGCCGGACACAGTGGCTCAAGCCCGTAATCCCAGCACTTTGGGAGGCTGAGGCAGGCAGATCAAGAGGTCAAGAGATTGAGACCAGCCTGGCCAACATGGTGAAACCCTGTCTCTACTAAAAATATAAAAATTAGCTAGGCATGGTATCGCATACCTGTGGTCCTAGCTACTCGGGAGGCTGAGGCAGGAGAATCGCTTGAACCCAGGAGGTGGAGGTTGCAGAGAGCCAAGATTGCACCACTGCTCTCCAACCTGGTGACAGGGGGAGACTCTGTCTCAAGAAAATAATAAAAAAAAAAAAGATTATTCATTTTATACTAGTAAGTTCTGCTGAACTCAACTGATATATTTTAAATTATTCAATTTACAAAAACTTAATTTGCAACTTTCAGGAGTATCACTACTATATGTGGTGAGGTACAAACATGAACTGGACTCATGTTCAAGCAAGTCCTTTAGCTATTACCAGACCCATTACCATGTGCAGATGGAAGAGAAAATTAACATGAGCTCATGAAGAAAACATCAAGACTGCAATGAGAAATTTGAGGACTAGGATTCTGGGCCAATTTAGCTGTAAACAATGAGATCCTTGAGGATGTTTTTATCATCAGCCTTTTCAAATCTATTAAAGGTGTTTAGAGAAATAAATTTTAATCAGTTATATAAACTCTAATATAATTTAATAGTTCCAAGACTTTGTTAACAGAAGGGGAGGGGGAGAGTGTGCCAATTTTGTTTTATTTAGATTTTTCCCTTTGCCTACACATTTTGTTTTCACTTTATCAGGTTTACTCAAAATTTGAATATCGGAGAGAAATTTTGCCAATAGCACAAGCAAGTCATGACATGAAAGTACTAGAAAGTAAATGAAAGGCTGTAATCAACGCTATGATCTTGTTAAGACTAAAAGACAGAATAAAAAATGGTTGGAGACTGCAAAGATGATACCAAAATGTTGGCAATTGAGGCAATCAAACAGTTGGAGTTTGTTTTACAGCCTGTGCAGAACCTAGATAAGACAATGCCTCATAAGAATGAAATTACGGAAAATAACAGTAAATCCATAATTCAAGAGTATTCAGGTTTACAAAAAGGGCAATGGAGGAATTTCTTTATATAAATTTTATTTCCCTTTTGGAAATGGTTTTTGCCTGTTTGGGCTTCCATAACAAAATACCATAGACTAGGTGGCTTACAAACAACAGAAATTTACTTCCTACAGTTCTGCAGGATGGGAAGTCCAAGATCAGGGCACCAGCAGGTCCAGTGTCTGGTGAGGGCCCATTTCCTGATTCATAGATAGCAACTTCTTTCTGTGCCCTTACAAGGTAGAAGAAGGGAATTAGCTCCCTCGGGCCTATTTTATAAGGGTGCTAATCCCATGAGGTTTCTAGCCTCATGATTTAGTTACCTTTCAAAAGACTTCATTGCCTAATAGTATCACATTGGTGAATAGGTGTCAACATATGAAATTAGGGTGAGGAGAGGGACACAAACATTCAGACCACAGCAGAAATTATAATGGGCTTGTAAGCAAATTTTCCTCTGAGTGCTACGAAGCCCTTCCAATCCCTTTCTACTTTGTTAATATTAGAATTTTTGTGTCTCTTTAGTTACACAATATTATCTTTTGTGCTAATAAAAATATCTCGATGTTTATCTTAATGTTAGTATATTTTCGAGTTGTATTGTTGCAGCTGTTTGTTGGGGAAAAACTGCTTCTTCCTTTCTTGTTTTTGACAAAATTCAACGTCTCAGTTTGTAATCCTACGCAGCCAAATATTATACCCTTCTATAGTAGTTTTCCAATTTAAAATGCATGGGACTTCTAGAGTGAGGTTAAGGTATAAGTATCTAAGTAACTGAAATACTAGTCAAAAAATACACTAAGTGGAAGGGATACAAGAAAAAAGAATTCAAGAATTTAAACTAACAACTACACTACTTCAAATGAATATGATACTTGCAGGAATTTTAACTTAGCTTACACAAATGAATTAAAGAACTAGAAACATGATGAATTTATAATTCAAGTTCTTTCTTTTGCTAGTCACAAGCAACTTCAAGATTAATATTTTACCTCTGAATGTAATAGTTAACATCTATAGAAGGCTACTTGAGTAATATACTCTAAGGAGGACAAAGGTTATTTGACTGACAGAAATAAAAGAAAATTAGTTTCAGCTGAGACATCTGAATAAAAAGAAAAGAGAATTTATTATAAAATATCTTTAAGAAAAGTCAGTTTTCCATTTAACTGGAAACTTTAAAAAAGATACTAACATGCATTTATGGTAAACTGATTTTTGACAAGGGTGCCAAGACTATTCAATAGAGAAAAACAGTCTTTTCAACAAATGGTACTAGGACAACTAAATATCTACAAGCAAAAAGAAAATCATGTTGAATCCCTTCCTTGCACCATATACAAACATTAATTCAAAATGACTCATAGATCTAAATGTATAAGCTAATACTATGAAATTCTTAGAAGAAAAAAATAGCAAATATTTGTGATATTGGACTAGGCAATTATTTAAGATATAACACCAAAAGCATAAGCAACAAAATACAACAATAAAATAGATACATTGGACATCATCATCAAAATTAAAAAATTTTGTGCTTCAAAGGAAACCATCAGAAAATGAAAAGACAGGCCAGAAAATAGGAGAAAATGTTGGCAAACCATGTATTTGAAAAGAGATTTGCATCCAGAATAAAGAACTGTTAAAACTCAACAACAGGAAGACAAATAATCTAATTTTAAAATGGGAAAAGGACATGCATAGGAATTTCTCCAAATAGGTTACACAAATAAGCCAATAATTATATGAAAACATGTTTGCCACCAAGATAACTCTGCTTTTTTTCAAGCAATGTAATCAAAATTGGTTTGGAGTTCTCTTTTGTGCTTGAAAGCAGACTTCCTTGCTGAACTTAGCCACCATTTTATTTATTTATTATTTATTTATTTTGATGATGGAGTCTCACTCTGCCACCAGGCTGCAGTGCAATGGCACCATCTCGGCTCACCGCAACCTCCGCCTGCAGGGTTCAAGTGATTCTCCTGCCTCAGCCTCCCGAGTAGTTGGGATTACAGGTGTGCACCACCATGCCCAGCTAATTTTTGCATTTTTAGTAGAGACGGGGTTTCACCACGTTGGCCAGGATGGTCTCAATGTCTTGACCCCGTGATCTGCCTGCCTCGGCGTCCCAAAATGCTGGGATTACAGGAGTGAGCCACGGCACCTGGCCTGCCACCTTGATTTTTAATGTAATGTTTAACATGGCTTATATAGAAAATGATGGTAACAATCAGTTCCCTTTATATTTCTTTGAAATGAGATTTAGATGTTTTTGTTTTGACCATATTTTAAGGCAAATCTTGTTTATTCTGTTGGCCATTGAACCATTAATATATTTGGAACTTAGAATCATCATCATCATCAATAGCTATTGTTTTAAAATACTATCTGTTAGACAAACTCTTTTGTATATTAGTCTCTTAAGTCTAAATAACTCTAAGAGAAATATAATTAATAACCTATTAATAATTTAGCATGTGGAAACACTGAAGCTTTGAAATGCATAATGCAATTGTCTCTAGTATGTCACCTTGGTTACAGGTAGGATCTGACAAGCCAGAAATCTAGTCAAATCATTTCTTAGTAACTGTGAGGGATTGGTTCCAGGACCCCCTGAGGATACCATAATCCATGGTGTCCTTGTGGATTATATTTGAGTCTCATATTAAATGGTGTAGTATTTTGCATATGAGCTACACACATTATGTATTACATATAAAACCTAACACAATGTAAATGCTATGTAAGTAGTTGTTATACTCTAGAGTTTAGTGAATAACAACAGGAAAAAATGTTTGTACATGTTCGGTATAGGCACAAACATCCTTTTCTCCTCCCTGAATATTTTCAAATCACAGTTGGTTGAAACCAAGGATACTAAACCCACAGATACAGAGGCTGACTGTATATACGAGTCATATGTAATCTATCTGTATTCCCATAGCTAGTATGTGGTGGAGCCAGGTTTGTGCTCAGGCAGTCTGGTCCCAGAGCCTACACCTTTATGCACTATTCTATATTCATGTCTTTTTTATGGATATACATGTTTTTCCTGAAGTTGGCTCACTCACAGACACAACTGACAGTACTATAAGTCATATAGTAAAATCATTTCTCAGTTGCCAGTAATGGTGAAAATGAACACTCACCTTCAGGATGAATCCTGTAATGTGGTTTGTTAAGTTCTACAGGATACAATTTGGAAGCTTCACAATATTTTGTACATTAGGAGACATGATTTATTAATGTACCATTAATGGAGAGTGTTACTAAATACTAAAATTCTGCAGAATCAATTGCTGCCTTTTTTTTTTTTTTTTTTTTTTTGAACTAAACTTATGCTCCATGGCAGCTTAAAAGAGAAGCCCCATGAAAGTTTTAAACTCTATCCAAACCCAGGACAATCCAGTCTCTGTTTAGACGTGCCTCCACCCATCTCAGATTTGATATAATTTGTCACTCTGCCATGTCCTTGTTCAAATACTGCAGTATGTACTCTCTCAGCTCTCATGCCAGAAACCACGTGAGTCTCCTACCTTCAGGAATATGTTGGGTAAATATTCTTACCCAATGAACTGCTTTTGAACACTTACTGGTTTGCCTCTAATGTATATCACTAATTTTTATCCTCTTCACTTCAAAAAAATAAAATTTACCACTTTGAACA